TACTGGCGAACTGGAGCCATTGTGTCGCGAGTGATTGAAATTGGAGTTGTTGGAGTTGGAGCAGCTAGAATGTGTTTCGTACGAGGGCGGCGACACATCTAAATCAAAATTCTAGATGCTCAACAAACATCATCTTAGAAAAATCTTCTTTCATTTCTCGCATCTACTTGCATCGCGCATCATCTTTTAGCAGGAAATCTTCCGAATCGTCATTAATCTTCTTTCTATCTACTCAACGTGCGCGCAGCTAACCACAGCAAAACACCGTCGCCCGGTTTCGTAGTTGATGGGGGTTTACGCTGCTGTGTCAGGAACGAACGGCGAGAGTGCGATTTTTAACACCGGTTGAAGAAGTAGCGGCAGCATATGTATGGAAGCTCTTCGAAATCATCGTGATGTCATGGATTCCTTTGCAACATATCGGGTGAGGTCTATCCTTTATTTTTGGGTCTACCAGGGCACCCGATTGAAGCAAAATGGATGGGGATTGAGGAAATGAAAACTCCATATCTTTAACATTTCGTGACAAGAGGGCGGGCTCTTCTCCCCACTCATTGAGGCATCCTCCTGTTGGATGGCGTGTTTTTTGACCGATTGTATGATCCAGTTGTTGGAAGGAGATTCTTATTTATCCCGTAGATGCACGTGGGCGATATTGCCTACGGAATCACCCAAACCGTTTTTGATCCTTCATACAATGGCAGGTTGAGTACAATTAGAGGTTATTAAACTTGATCAAGTCAAACAGCGAGGATAATCCACAGTCTACCGACAGTTGTCTTGCTACAGTATGGTTAGTTTTATATCATCATCATCATGATCAGTCGTGTGATTTTTGTCGTTTGGATGACTTGCTTTCAAACATCGAATGGGATGCTCTACTGCGACAGGAAAAATTGGACGAGTTTGTATCAGCTTTCTATGATAAGCTTTATGCAGTGCTTATGGGCCACGCACCTCAAAAGGTACAACAAGTTTCTTCAGTCTATTACAAGCCATGGTAGACCTCTGAACTAAGTCATATCCGAAAAGTTCTTAGGAAAGCACGCAGCCGTTTCTTTCTGATTAATGCTGTGTTCCATTTGGCGAATTTTTACTTAAATTTGACAGACAGAAAATTTAAAATAAACCTGCCATTATACTAGACTTATTTCTGGCAGACTAGGAATCAATTTTGCCAAACAGCTTCTCGAAAATCAGACGATCAACAACAGAGGGATTTTCGAACATTATAATTTATTTTCGAAGTGTCAAATGTAATTGAAAATTCACCAAATGGAACACAGCCTAAGTTCGATAGTGAGCGGAACAACCTTCGGGAGGTGGAAACCACGTAGAAGGCACTTATCTTATCTACGTACGAAAGTTACATGGCTAAGATTCAATCAGATGTCAAGCAAAATCCTTCATGTCTCTGGAATTTTGCGGCAACTCGCATTCCAACAAACGTAAAATACGACGATGGGTACCACCGCTAGCTTTAATTCGGAAGCGGCAAGCCTTTTCGCCAAGTTCTTCGAGAGCGTATTTAACAAATCATCGCCTGTTCCTCGCTTCAACTGCCTTGCCCATGTTGCTTCACACGACATAAATCTACCCGAGATTCAGTTTTCCGTCATAGAAGCACTGAAAGCCACAGAAGAACTCGAATGGAATGGACGGTATACCACCCTTGCTGCTAAAGAATTGCTCCACTGCACTTGCATATCCCATAACATCCCATTCAACCGTTCGCTGCAGGACAGGATGTTCCCAGTGGCTTAGAAATCAGCTTCTATCATTCCTATCTACAAATCCAGCAATTGCAATGGAGTCACGAACGTCGTGGTGTTTCTGTCTTGTGCTGCTTCAGCAAATTTTCCGAAAAACTGGTGCATAAAGTTCTGTATAACGCTGCATCTTCATTAATTTCCGACAGCCAACATGGTTTCATGAACAACGCTCCACGACTACAAATCTGATGTGTTACGTCAACACTGTCTCGCGAAGTCGAACATGGACGGCAACAAGTTGATTCGATTTATATCGATTTCGCTAAGTCCTTCGACACTATACCACATATCTTGGTCATTGACAAAATGATACACATGGGGTTTCCGATCCAAAACGGTATTTTCCCATAGGATTAGGAATCTAGTCTAGACAATACTTAGTATTAAGTAGTTTAGTCTGTGCGACTTAGTCGAAGGTGGTGATCAAAAAAAAAATCATCATTTTGAATGCAGATTACGAATATGTATTTACCTAGCCCTAAAGAACCCAATTGAAAAGGTAGCGATTGGCTTTTCAAACAATTTTCAACACTTCGCATCCGTTTCCATCTTGCAGCAATAGAAAATTGGTTCGATTTTGACAGTTCAAAAAGGTTCTTTCGAACATTTCCAACCTAGTTTAGGGTAATGAAAAGTTTGGGGAGTCCTGAATTAAAGATAACGATGCTGTATATGCGAAATAGTGAATACTATGGCGCGAATCCGTCTATAGAGAGTTAGTCGGTATATAGGGGGCGTCTCATCTAAATTTCAATCCTAAGACTCTCAATAAATATCACGTTAGCAAATCAATCGTAAAATCTCCTTTAATTTACCTCACCTAAATCTATCTAGGACCTGTTGAAATATTACGTAACGGTAAAGTAGGTGGAGGTGATCCAAAATGTTGTATGTAATTGTTATGAAAAAGGGATAGGGGGCTTTACCAAGAAGTTTTTTAGTCTTAACGCATACAATTTGGTGATAACAGGAAAAGTTAAACTACTAAAAATAACATTACTATGAAGAGCTTTGAGTGGGTTGGTTTATTTCCTTTAAATTCCGTTATAATTGCTTATCTTTTGACAGATACGCGTTTTTAGTCTACTACTTGCAGACTTCATCAGTGCCAAGTACTCAACACCACTGGCACTGATGAAGTCTGCAAGTAGTAGACGAAATACGCGTATCTGTCAAAAGATAAGCAATTAAAACGGAATTTAAAGTAAATAAACCAATCCACTCAAAGCTCTTCATAAAAGGATTCTGTTAAGCTCACTGGGTACCTCGAACGCAACTCGATATTTAAATTAACCTTGGCAGTTAGCGGTACACGAAAACGGACGGGCTAGAGTATTACTAAAGGAAGAAGAAATAAAAAAAGATCGTAATTTGACACAGTGTAAACACGCTAGGAAGACAAAAGTTTAATTTACAGCATATTCATTATTATTTGCGTTTCTATTGCTCTAAATCTTCAAACCTAAACGGTAATGTACAGGACAGAATTGAAGTACAAACAAACAAAGTAATTATATTACAATTTCTAGCAGTGAGTTTGTTACTCTAGTGAAATTGAGGTTAGGGAATCAGAGGTGCAGGAAAAAAGGAGGAAACACGAATTGTAAGCTTGTTTCTTTATGTTAATAACCTTTAAGCTAATGCAAATATATTTCCAGCTTTAAGCTGTTCACAAACTGGACACGCTCTGAAGATCGAGTTCCTTCGGCTGCATCCGAAACCGAAAATTCTCACTAACAGATTCCGTTACGAGGTTCGACAAATTTAAAGGATTAATAACGTTACTTTTAGTTAGGATGAGCTACCGGTGCTTGACCTCGCATTTTCACTTATATTTGAAAAAAATAAAATAAAAAGAAAGCTGATTCAAAGTGATCATTGTTAATCGTGCTACGCATTACAGTGAGAAGGAATATTTATTAAATTGTTACATTGTGACAAGGGTTGGGGGTGATTACATTTTCCTGTTTTTAACGTTACTTAATATTTGAACAGCCCTTACTCGCATCGCGCTTTATCGTTGTGCAGGAAATTCTTCTAAATCTTTATCAATCTTTTTTTCTATTTACTCACGATAGCAACGCAAAAGTTCCCCTGCATCTTAGATGGAGTTGTGATTGTTTTTCCTCTCATTTTCAAAATTGCGCTCGAAGGTGTTATGAAATTATTGCCGCTTTATTGCCAACCAGGCCATACACTAGTTCACCCTCTGGGGTGAGCGCTGCCAAAAAGTAGTGCAAGGCGCCCAATTTGATCCTCTCTTTAAGCTGCGCTTAGACAAGGCAAGTCAATTGATCAACTCAGTTGAATTCAATTGGCTTGAAAAGTTGAGCCTGTCAACTTTTTTTCAATTCAAGTGAATTGATCAAGTCAGTTAATTGGCATGAGTTCAACTGATATGATCGACTTACTTGCCTTGTCTAAACCCAGCTTAATCCCAGACACTCTCTTATCAAGAGTAATTCAAGCTCAGTGTGCTCCGCTCGTGGATAAAACCTCTCATTTTGGCAGCATGGGTGTTTATGAAATTAATATTTACTACATAAAGATCTTCGATCAACATCGTTTTTATAAGACTTGTAGCTTCTGCAGCAGTCTTTACTTTCGACTAACTGGGCATGAGTTTGCTGTACTATTTGTACGACACGTTAATCACTCCCCTCGCACCCGATTTTCCACGAACAGAAAACAAATATTATCTCTCTATCACCAGAAACTGAAGCTTGATCGATAAGAACGTTACTAGACCTAATCAACACAACGCTTGAATGAAATGATACCGCGTATCAAGAATGCCGCACCGGCTGTACAATTTGACACTGTTTATCAACCACTCTCAATTGAACACTACGATTAAAATTATGCTAGGTATATGCTCAGCTTTATTCAAAACCCAAACAAACACACGTGAAAGTCGCTTCGTTTGCTCCTAGTCCAATAGAAAGCATGGTCTAGTAGTTGATTGAGCGCGATAACTTCAGTCGCTCTCGCTCACGCTTCAGATTGGATTCGCTGTGGTGTCGTGATGACTGGTGAGAGATGCCTCTCTATAGCTACCACGTGCACGAGCTGCGCGCGAGAGACTTTCGCCATGTGCCGTGTAAACTCGCTAAATCCTTCCAAACCATTCAAACGATCAACCCGCTGAACGCGCGGCGGTTCGTTAGTTTCGGTGCAAACGTCGAGGTGTACGGACGGTTTATCGATTTTGAACGGTACGAAAATCTACAATAGTTTGGCGATAGACTTCGGGTGTTCCTGTGTTGGATTTTGCGAGACTTCACCGATCGACCTGTGTGGTAGGTCATTTCCGACCTATAGGCTATAGCATAAATCAAACATTCAGATAAGTCAGGTCAGTGTGTGGAGAAACTTGACGCTATTATTGGAAGACAGTGGATTGCAGGAAAGCGTAAAACAGCATTTTTTATCAATAAAAAAAAGGAAATTCAAATCACTTTCAGTCACCAAGCAACCGAAACCGCTTGAATTTATCTGTTTAAAAAGGAATTGAGCTGTTATGTAAATCGTGAAAAAGCCGTGCGAGGTGCTTGCGGTGACAGTAATGCGTTGCTGTTTGAAGAGATTTTTTTTCGATGACCATAAATAGCTCAAGCAAGTGGGTTAAATGTCGTTGCCCCTTGAATTGCTTAATGATAGTAACCGTTCTTGTACTTATTAAACCAGCACCAATGTCAATGCCATCATAGCTCGTGAAAGTGTAACGATGGTGTTTGTCACGCTGCCAAGTGAAATGAGTCGTGGTATCTAAATACACGCCTGCTTTTCTGCGCTTCAGGAAAATTTATCGGTTTCAACTCGTAGGTGCTAGCTTATTTCACGCTATGAAGACACACGTTCGTCGGTCATCCATAACGTCTCATGTTAGCTACTAAATACTATCTGCCAAAGTTGCCATTCATGAGGGCCTTTGTTTACTTCTAATACAGTTAGCAAATAAAAAAAGCCGGTGGCAATAAATATAGCAACTTGCATCACGATTCTCAGTCGAAGACGGTTAATTTTCCACTTTTCAAGACCAATATGTGACGAAAGCTTTTTGCACTTCCTAGCTCAGCGAGCACGGTTTAGGCTGTAGGCTAGAAAATGAAATGTGCATTTCATACGAAAAAAAAAAAAGATTATAACTCCGAAGCAGTGGTTTCGCTACACAGTGATGTATCAAATGTTTGCAAAAGTTTTGGCATGCGGGGAGCTAGTATCGCTAATGGGCTTCGCGTTTGCTTTGATCAGACAGGACAGGAGCAAACTACATTGCGGGACCGAAATCCGCATGCATAAGACATTCGTTCACCTGATGGAAAATGTATGGAGTGGATGGATTTCTTAGGTGTTCAGATTTCGATCCCACACGGTATTTATATATAAAGTGATTTTTTTCTTCAACTGAAAATGGAATCTTGAGAAACATAAAATGGTAGTTTGGTTCCTGGCGAATCAGAAGACTCTGCTAACATGGCAACTAATCGAAGCGGTTATTGAACGACATGGGTCCACCGGAGCGTTGGATATCAAATATCATTTGATTATTAACCAATTAAAAATTTGGTCAACCCACGGGTGATGTGGTTCCGAAAAGAAACGAACATTTTTTTATCGCTAGCCACTAGTCATTCGTGACTTGGGATGTCATATTTAAACCCATACTCATGAAAGAAGTGCATGCTAAACTATACATCAGACCTTACCAGAGCCGCTTTCAGTTAAAGCAAGATTAGATTAGGACACTTTCCTACTTCTTCTTTTTGGTTTATTACGTTCATATTGGGACTTTACGCCGGTTCTCAACTTCTTCTTCTAACCTTTTTACGCTTCTGTAGCGAGCGTTTTGCCGGTTCTCAACTTAGTGTTGCACTGCCACAATTATTGATTGAGACCTTGCTTTGCCCACCAATGCTTAAATGTGTATATTGCGTGGCAAGTACAATCATACATTGGCCATGGAAAGTCGAGAAATTCCTAGACCGGACCGGGAATCGACCCCAGTCGCCTCCAGCATGGTCTTGCTTTATAAATGCGCCTTTATCGACTGAGCTAAGAGAAGCCCATTTTCCTAGTAACCCGGCAATCGACGCGATTTTTGTATTTATATTAGAGACACGGTGATTCAATCACAAAAAGGCGGAGCCAGGTTTCCAAATATTTATGGTTATGGGTCATTAGGCCGGATGCATGTTGATGAATAATTAACCCTTTGTCTGTACCTCTACAATAAAGCTAAATCCAGTGCAAAAAATCTTCATCACTGTATATGCTTTGAAGATGTCTGGGGCTGTTCATAAACTACGTAGGCAGTTTTTTGGGATTCTAATCGGCGGCAACCTAATTCTCCTTAACAAATTTTGTTGCCCCCCCCCCCCCCCCTCATTCGGAATCTGGCTACGCCCTTGGCTGTCAAACTAGTGATTCATCTTTTAAAAAATTGCCGAACCTCTCAACAGAATCCCTTTATGAAGAGCTTTGAGTGTGTTGATTTACTTCCTTTAAATTCCGTTATAATTGCTTATCTTTTGACAGATACGCGTATTTCGTCTACTACTTGCAGACTTCATCAGTGCCAAGTGGTGTTGAGTACTTTGACGAAATACGCCTATATGTCAAAAGATTAGTGCTTCATGCAAATCAGCTTAGTAGATCCTATCCAAATCATCCAATATTATATCTAGTGCGTTTATTTGGAAGGCTTAATCGCGTTAGCTTTACGAAGCCGATAATTCATTGGTCATTGTTTGTAACAAAATTCACTTATGTCTAGTAGTTTTCTTATTATTAGATCTCTGAACGTTTCTCTGAATCTGGTCTCCGTGTTTTTCTCGAAATCTACACGGTCAATCATACCAACTCAGGGACTGAGAATAATTGACTCAGAATTTTCTTTCCATACACATTCAATCTAGCTCGGTAAAATCTAAATCTAAAATCTACCTCGGCATATACTTTTGCTGATATCTATGCAAAATATCTGTTTGTTAGCTGATATCTCAGCAAAATGATATTTGTTAACTGAGTCTCGGCAATTGTCTTACTGAATCTCAGCAAAATAAATTGCAGAATTACTCGGCTGTTGGAATCTCGGTGAAAAAATGTAAGTGTGTACGAAATTTACTCAGATTTGGAAGAAACTGCTATGAGTAACTGCAGTTTCTTCCAAATCTGAGTAAATTTCGTATGGAAAGAAAATTCTCTTAGTCAATTATTCTCAGTCGCTGTGTTGGTATGATTGGCCGTGTACTGAACTTACTTTTACGGTTGCCCGTACACATCTTTAAATCAACTTGCAAGTTCAGTGGAGTTTAATTTCAAGTCCAGAAGCATATCCAAGGGACTTTGAGCACCCTCGTGAAAGAATTCGTGGGCAAGTCTAGGGTTAACTAAATGTATGTTCAAAGAACATCACCACCCTACACTGGGCCACGAATTCTTTCACGAAGATCTTGAAGTCCCTTGGATATGCTTCGGGACTTGATGTTTCCCAGAAAAAAGCACTATTTTTCTCTACAACTCTGTGTCAGACGTCATTTCGATCAGAAGTGCGCTGATTCCAAGCTTCAATTTTTTTGAAAAATTTCAAATACGCTGAGTTGAAAATTTCAGAAGATCTTAAATTACCAAAGTTTAGTATGTTGCGATTATGCAAAGTTTCATGCAAATCGGAGAAGATTTCGATTCGTCATTTGCCGTGCTCAAAGGGCGAATGAATGTTACGGGAACAAGAGGTCAAACCATAGATGAATACTAAGATGAAACTGTCGGAAGAAAAACTTTCTATTTTAGTGTCCTCTTTCACGGTCCCTTTGCAAGGTAATTTTGTGGTTTTGCTGCCCTCTCGATAGAGATGAAATTTTGCGCTCATTTTGATCAAAACAATCACACCAAAATCAGAGATGTCCCATTTTTTAATTACTCGATTAACAACTAATCAATAATTTTTTGTTCGCTGTGCTGTCATTTTTCCACCAATGAGAGTGCAGCACATGTTTGAAACGATCGGTGCATGGCATGATATAACCGATTACAAATATTTTACTTTTCGGTTCGTTAATCGATTAATCGATTATTCGAATGAAAATCGGCCATCACTAGATGAATATGAAACGTCATTTCAAATATAAGGACCGTTCATAAATAATGATACAATTTGAAAGGGACCGGGGCTAATCACAAATAACGTCCCCACGGTAACTGAAATAAACACGAGTGTTCACCGGTTGGTCAAACTGAACAAAAGAACGAATGAACAACAAGTTGAATGGCCAAAATGTCGAACGGACAAACGGTAGAATTGTCCGAAATAGCTAAATGGACGAAAAGTCAATTGACAAAAAATCAATTAAAATTTATGCTTATTGGTAGGAAAAAGAGTTGAAAGACAAAAGAATGAAAGGCCAAAGGCAAAATGTTAAAGGGACAAAAGTGTTAAAGGGACAATACATATTAAGGGTCCGATTCTGGCAGCAGGGCATGGCAAATGATGTATCGGAAAAACTCGACCCCCTTCGATTTGCATAAAACTTTGCATAATTGTGTGTTATGGGCAATCATTCACATTTTTGCAAGAATTCGGCCATTTTGGATTTTGTAATTTGTTTTCAAAATGGCGCCTTTGTAATTTTTCAATAAATTGTAGTACGAAAACTTCAATTCTTATAGACATGAAGTCTTAGACAAAATTGTAGAGACAAATAAAGTCTTTCTGAGAAAAATATACTTTTTTTTAAATTTTGATTGGTAAGATAAACTGCTTTAAATGTTTAGAAAAAAAAAACTCATTTGTGACTGGGTTTTTCTGTACCATCACTCTAACTAGCCACCATATGCTTCCGTAGTGCAAAAAACTGGATAGAATTGGGTTCTTTAAGGGTATTGAGGTAAATGCATATTCGTAATTTGCATTAAAAATGGAACCCAAACCCAAAATTTCATCAATTTTGGTACACTGGAACTATTTTAAATAAGTACTATTACATTTGCAAAAATCACCTTATTAGCGCCTCTCGGTGTCACTTTCCCCCTTATTCTGCGAGTCACGTGACTCTCTCTCACCGGTGAGGTGACAATTGTCACCTCGTGTGAGGTGACTCTCCATGCAAATCAAATGGAGAGTCACCTCACACGAGGTGACTATTGTCACCTCACCGGTGAGAGAGAGTCACGTGACTCGCAGAATAGGGGGGTTTGTATGGGATCGAGCTGTCAGTTTGACAGTTTAGTGTCAAACAGTGAAGTTTTTATTTTGCTTTAAATCTTGATTTAAAAATCGAGATGAAAGTGTGTGGGT